GACCAAATCAAATAAGGTACAAGGTAAGGAGCTAAAATCTCTAGCTAAGTATTGGACGAGGTGTAATATTTTGAGGGTAGTTGACAAACTAATCACATATGAGGCTTAATTATGCATTCTAGGATCGTGGTAGGCCCACACACACTTAGATTGCTCACTTGCGTTGTAAGAAATTTCTTAGTTGAATGTGTGACAATGCATATAGTTGTCATGTTGTGCATGTGATGTGTTGATGATTTTGTGTTATTCATATCCTATGTTGATAATAACTATGTTGATGAGTTTCATAATTGTATTGAAAAGTTGTTTTGTGTTGACATATTGATCTATGTTGTTAAGTTGTTACCTTAAAAAGGCTATTGAATGCTTAGTTGAGGTGTTGTTGTGTTGTACAGTTGAGTACCTTGGTGAATCGTACTATGTTGTTTAAGTTGGAAAAACATGTATGAGTTGCATGATGTGATTGATATGTTGATGTTGATAGTATAGTTGTATTGTATTTCTATACTTGTTACATTATTTTTCTATCAGCTTACCTTTTCATGTTTCCTTATAGATGGACTATGATGATCATACTTGGTATAAAAGCATGAATTCGAAAAAAATATACAGGAGGAGGAGTAAGTGTTAAGACCCATGTTGGAGACTGGTAAAGTTGTTTAGAGCTACTTGGGTATAACTAGCCTTTTTTAGTGTTGCTTAACTGAAATCCTAGGTCATGTTTCGGTGCTAGATTATTATATTTATATACTTGTATAGCTATAGTCGTAGTCCCTCTAAGAAATTTATCTTATTATTTCAGTTGTTGATGAATTTTTACACATGTATATATTACTTCATGTATATCTAGGTACTATTTGCATATTAACCCCAGGTAATTAGATTTGTGTTTTCTGTTGCTAATAGCTGAGGTGCAAAGTGCAGGGACTTGTTAGATTGTTACATAAACCACTAAATATAATTGTGACTTGCAAGCCTCCCAACTACCATGTCTGTTTTCTTAAATGTGTAATCTCTTGATTTTTTTTGTTGAATTCTCTTCCATTAATTGATTTGTCGCAAAATAATTAATGATAATAATTGATAAGGAATGCTAATGACACTTTTTCTAACACTCTCGTTATTATTGGCTAAAATTTATTAAAATTTACTAATTTTGTGGATTTTGTATCTCTCCATTTTCATTGGTAATACACGTGTAGAAATCATTATGCATAAATTATTCACACATTAGTGCAAAATTGGCATTTTACAACACTTTTTAACATTGTTTATGTATCAATCAATTTAGGAAGTGGGGGGTGTTGATATTTTTGCAATTTAAAGCAACTTTTTTTTCATTAGTTAGAAAGTAACTAATAAGAAATATTTTTTTTTACCTCAATTCCAAAATAACCAACGTAAAAAAGCTCTTTTTACATCAATTCCAATTATAATTGATCTAAAAAGTTTTTTTTTCACATGAGTTCAAACTAGAACAGATGTAATGTCTTTTGAATTATTTTTTGTACTTCATTTTCACATTTCCACTCAAAATGTTTGTCTTTCCTTTCGTGTGTATACACTCTACCCCCCATTGTTTTCTTGATTTGAAGCCAATGAAGCTCTACCGTCATTTCGACACTAGTGTCCTTTCTTTTTAAGTCCAATACTAACGATGCTCCATTGTTGTGCACCCTCATCCTTGTCATTTTCACTTTGTAACTCTTTGAGACTTTACACAAATCAACTCGGTAGTGAACTCAAGAATGACCCCAAAGATGTATATCCACTTGAAGTCCCTATGCCCCAGGGTTTTGCAGTGGTGATAGAATGTGACGACAATGTAACAATGGAAGAAAAAGTAGAGGAGGAAGGCTTGCGTGAAAGGAGGAATTAGAGTAATATTTCCAGATATGTATATATTTGTGAGGTACATTATGCAATTATCAAGCATGACTTATGATTTTGAACCTTATTTAATCAAGAATAATCAATAAAAATTATAATGAGTAATTTTATAAACTTTAATTTTTTTATTAGACATTTATGATATTTTTAGTGTTTTTATATATAGGAAGAACATGAAAAGAGAAACTATAATAAAAAAGAACAAGGGTAAATTCAAGATACTAATGAGTGCTTATTTATTGTGAGCCTCGCTTAAGCAAAACACCTCTTAAGTAATTGAGGCTTAATAAAGTGCCTAGGAATGTCACATTAAAGGTTCACTGAAGCGAGTAATGATAAATTAAAGTTCTAAGGATAGAACTATTAAAGGCTTTCTTAAGCAAACCACAATCTCGCTTGAGTAAGAAATGATAGAGAGTATCCATGAAAAATCATCTATGTTGCTTAAGCGGTAGAGCTCAACAAGCCAACATTTGAAACTTATATATGCTCTAAAAGATAAATTTATTATTATTCACTAAGAGAGAGAAAATTAAGTTTCTTTGGAGAGAAAGAGTGACGCGGAAGCCTTCACTATTGACTCACTCAATAATCCTTCTTCATTCTTCTTGTATTTAGATTGCCCATGAGCAGTCAATAAACCTGTGTTGGGGATTGATGTAAGTGACTCAAATCCATGTACTTTTTTTATTTGTAAGAAAGTTAGAAGAAAAAAAGAAAAATACAGCTATTAGAGAAAGAAATTCCTATGTCATTAACCAATGCAAAAGAGCTAATGAAAAAAGGACAATTATGTCAAATAACCAAATCATCATATGTAGATGAGTCATGATGAGCTAAAGAGGAATTGAGTTTTTCATTAAGGAGTTTATAATTTCTTATCCAAGAAATTAGGTCTAAAATGCAATTGTTGGTTGCTGGATTAACAAAAATTAAGACTTTAATTTACATTGGAGGGTACATGCAAGGAAAATTAGTGAACTTAACACCCTTATATTTTGAATCAGAAAATTAAAATCATAAAAAAATAATTTTCTTTCATGCAATTGAACCCTCATATTCATATTTTCCTAATTAGCACCAAAGTATAATTGATTATTTATTGTTCTAGTCAATCTCTATGGATACATTAATTGGACATTTTACTATTTGCAAATTTAACACACTTTCTAAATCATTGATAAGGAGGAACATTCTAGAAGTGGAGTAGAGGAGCGAAATAACATTTGTTATTTGAAATTGCAAAGGATCAACACGTTGTCATAATGACTAGAGCGACCTGAAAAGTACATCTTTCTACATCAATTACATTATAATTAATGTAAAAAATGTTCATATTTTAAATTGACAATTTCAATATTAATCTTGAAATCAGTATAAAATACTCATTTTAACTGATAATATATGTCTCTCTTGTAATAGTGACATTAGCTCAAATTTATATAATAGATAAATTTTTTCTACTTATAGCAGATAAATATAAAAAAAATTCCAATTGTCATCCCACAACAGTGGGAGATTTTAGAAAATTATTTGTTTTCCATAAGAAAACTAGTAAATACATTATTTACATATGATTACAATAGAATTTGAAAGACTTAACGATGGGAAAAAATAGTGCAAACAATGAAATGAAAATAGAAGCCTTGGGAGTGGGCTTATATGTAAGTGAAAGAAAAATATAAAAAGAGGATGAATGATTTGCATGGAAGATGAATGATACATATAGGGAAAGTACGTACGTAGGCATATCCAGAGAGGATCATTAATCGAGAAACAACCTAAACTTTTATGGCAGTGGTCCATATATTGTCTGCCAATTTATATTTGATCCATCAGACCCACGTGTAAGTAATTGCACGTATGGCACATGCCCATCTTAATCGTATTTTATATTAACTAAATTCCCAAAAGAATCACATTTGGCATCAAAGTTTTTACATGTAACTTTGAAAAAAAATATGGCAAAGAATCAATTGTGACCAGCTGATAAAAGGTAATATAATCCAAAAAAAAAAAAAAAAAAATCTATAAATTACAACGAAATTCTTTTACCTTTTTTTGTTTGTAAGTCATTTACAAGAAAATAAGAATAAATAATAATCATACTATTTGAGTATTTGTCTTTTTTATTTTTATTTTTTATTATTATTAAATTTTATATTTACCTCACATTTAAGCCGTTACGGTCCTAAATTAAATGACCATGTGTGGGATGTCCCCTCTCCAACCGTCTAAAGTTTCTGTTTTATCATTTGGAAAATCCTTGTCTTCAATTGAAGAGCGGACACGACAAAAGAAATATGAGCTGTATAGAAAAGAAAAGCCAACCCCCGAAATGAAAAACAATACCAAAATCATGACAAAATGTAGAATAATTTACTTAAGAATTCGTTTTGGTTATAAATCATTTCGTACATTATATATATTTTATTATTTGTAAATCCTCTCACTTTCAATACAATTTCAAAAATCGTAACACTAAATTTTGTCCTTGTTTAACCTTCCACTCATTTAGGTTTAGTTTCCTATATAATTTTTCTTAAATACATGCCTATAAATTTCTATATTGTTCCTTCAGATATCAGTCGTATACATTAATAACTACAGGCATCAATTCTTCATTAAAAAAAAAAAAAAAAAAAGGGGAGATGATTTATCTTGAAAAATCCAAATCAGAAAAGCTAAATCCCAAAAAAAAAAGTAAAAGGGAATATATCATTATATAAGGAGCCAAACTAAAATACAAAAAAAAAATTCTATTTTTATTTATGTTTCTTTTTATACAATTATGAAAGAAATAGCTAGGAAAAAAAAAGTGGGAGATGAAAATAAGAATTAATGTGATAGATAAGATAAAAAAGAATAAAAATAGAAGTGTACCTTTCACTTGATTCCTGAGTTTTTTTTCCCCTTAGGTTGTGAAACAAAAATCGTGAAAAAATGTTGTGAATAAAAGAAGTGAATATGTTGGTATAAAATATCAGAAAAAGAATATCCCAAGAGTGAGTAGAAAAACAAAAAAACGAAAATGAATAATAACAATAAAGCAGCGAAGGATATAAATGTAATTTGAGTCGGAACACAATTATTTTGGCCGAGACCAATTCTCTCTCCAATCTTCACTCGCGAAACAGAATTCTCCGCCATCCAAAACAACTTACATATGATATGATATGATTCTTTCTTGGTTCCAAACCCCCATCATTCTCCTTCACTCTCCCTCCCAAGTCCCAACCGTGACCTCAATTCCCGTTTCCCTCACCTCCCGCCACGTGTCACTCCTCCATTCGCCTGTCACCACCGCTATCAAATTCAGATTCATCGCATACATACCGATAATGGAGATGGCTCAGCTGAAGACTAGAGCTCGAACTGCATTGCCCATGGAAGCTTCCGCAACTTCACCAAAGAGAAGAAAAATCGCCATCAACACCAACACCAACACCAACACCGTCACCGCTTCCTTCCTTCAACTCAAGAGTTTCAGTAACCACACAACCTCCACGGAGGAACGCTTCTCCGGCGAATCTCCGGCGTCTTGCTGCTCCAGCAACGGATCCTTCGATCAAAACCGAATCATCAACTTCTCAGATCTAGAGGTGATTGTCATAATATTATTTAATTTAATTAATTAATGTGAGCCAAGCGATTTAATTGAACTTGCGTTTTGCCTCTGCTTAACTGCTTCTCAGTTCTCATTAATGTGTAATGTAACGCATTTTCAGGTGGAGAGCGCGCAAGCTGAAACGTCGACGTGCAACTGCGGTGAACAACAACAAATGAGGTTTCGAAATAAATAAATTAAATTATATGCTATTGGCGATATTTTAAATTCAAAAAAGAAAAAGTGCTTCCAATCGTTTCAAATTTTCAATGATTCGGTTTGTTTGAATTCAAAATAAATAAAAGGCGTGTGAGTATCGTATCGTATGTGCAAGTCATCATGATTATATTTCTTCCGTTCAAAAAACTAATTCTGTAACTCTCTGACATTCATGTATCAATAATGCGCGCATATATAATACGCACCATCATCATCATCATACATACATGCACACATTGCGAAAAATTAACCGAAACATTGCTTGCGTTCTTGCAGGAGAGAGATGAGTCTCTCGAGCGAGCTTCGAGTTACGAATTCGCAAGAGGTGGATTCCGCGGAGAAGAAGCTAACGATGCAGACCAAAGCCAAATCTCGCAGCGCTCTATCAACGCCGCAGAAAATGCCTACGGAATCGGAGCTCGAAGAATTCTTCGCCGCCGCCGAGAAAGACATTCAGAAACGCTTCTCAGACAAGTAAGATATATAATAATGCATTTCCATTTCAAATGTGAAAAATGAAAAATGAAAAATGAAAAATGAAAAATAGTTGCGTATTATAAAATATTCCTTGTTAATGTGCAGGTATAATTATGATATTGTGAAGGACGTGCCGTTGGAAGGACGATACGAGTGGGTTAAATTGAAGCCATAAAAGTGACCAACCAACCTTGAAGGAAGACCAAAGACGGTTAAAAATGGCACTTGCTGACATTATTCTTACGTTAATTTACTTTAGGCACTTGATTTTACTTTGATTTTGTGTCTTTCATGCTAGGAGAACGCTTTTGTTTGGTGTATAGTTTGTTTCATTTTCTTCTGTGGTTAAGGAAGGTGAATTAAAGGGGATTCAGTCTCAGCTTGATCGATCCCTTTGTTATTTGTGTACGGGTTTTATAGTTATACGGAGAAGCTAGTCCTGTGCGGAATTTATTCTGTAAATTCCGTTGGTGGTGATGACTGTAGCACAAACGATTCCTATAAGGCTATAACAAAATTGCAGTCTCATTTTTCTCTCTTTAATTGTGCTTCCCCCCCGAAATTCGTGTCTGTTTCTCTGTTTCTAACTTTGAAGGGTACAGCGAAGTCAGTGACTGTTATCTTCTCTTTTTTCTTTATCTTTGCTTTTCCTTCATCTTCTTTTTCCCTTTCCCATGACGTTAATTTACCCGTCTTTATCTGTCTTTATCTTTCTTGTCTTTTCATTGCTTTATTTTTTTTAATGCTGATTTGTCTTTTTCCTTTTTTTTAACAATGGAAAAACTTTGCCTTTTGTCCCGAAACTTTCTGCGAAAACTTGGATGTTTTTTCTGCGTGTGGGTGGTCAGGTCTTTTGTACTTCATATAAGAAATTATTCATATCAAAAGGGGAGAAAATAACACAGTGAAGAATATTATGAAGCGGTGAAAATGTAGAAGGAGGAGGTGACGGTTTGTCTAATTATAGTGAATGGGTGTGTGTGTGAGTCACATTGTAGACATGTTTGAGGGGATTGTAAAGCTGATCTTATTTACCTTTTACCCCATGTGAGAAGAGTCTTCCAGTTTTGGAACCAAATTCATGCCACTTTCACAAGTACAACAAAATTGGTACAGATCGCAGAGAGTAAAACTAGACTACTACAGAGAGCATTGCTATTTCTGCACTTACCTCTTTCTCGCTTCTCACATTATTAAATAAATTACGTACATCAGTTATAGCACTGCCTGTTGGTGGGTAAATTCAAATTCCGAAACATTTAATTATATATTTTTTTGAAATCTATATGTTTTATTCACTGGTTGGAAAATTGCATCGTGGCTCATGAGGTGGCGTGCGTGGTCCTGCTACTGCTCCATAACATAAGCGATAGTGATGTCTCGGCGAGTTTGGGATGACTAGTGGCGAGTTACCTGATTATTGGGTCGTCGTTTTCGTTTGTTGTATATATTCTCACCAAAATAGGTATTCCGGTTAATAACGTATAAATATATGGTCAGTAATTAATTAATGTCTATAAATTGCAGTGTAAATAACATTTTTTTTTTAAAAGTATGTTTCTAAAACTGTTTATTATAAAATAAAAACTTAAATTGTGTGTGACATCAGCTTCTTCTCTCTTATTATTTAAAATTGTGGTGGTATGTTGCGTGGAGAGAACGTGGTTGTTCCGTACTAGCAGTGGGTTAGGGCAGCACATGGATTGAGATTCCCTGATGCGCGTGAATTTCATGATGTGGAATGGGTCGTAAGGCAGAGACGAAGAGGTACTTTTTCATACACAGAAGCAGCGAGCAATGTGCCTGAGCAATTCCAGCTTTTCGTTATGCAATAATCATTGCATTGCATAAAACTTATTATCATAGGGTATATATAATTCCTGTGAGATGTGGGAATTTCATCTTCAAATTCAAATCAAAACCAGGATATTCTTATTCTTTAAAAAAATTCAAAGTTTCCCTCTCTTGCTCCCTTTTCCCTAATACCCACTGTTGGCATTAATGGCTATTCTAAAACATATATCTGATTTCACATTAGATTCTCTTTTTTCTGCTCCTCTCGGCTATCACTGTTCCAATTAAGAAGAATCCTCTCATATGTAGGCTAAACGACCATTGTAGTGTAGTTTTAGAAACTTATTACCACAATGAGGCTGTTTTGAAACATTTTACACCTTTGGGGTTGTTTTACTGGGTGTCGTTATGGGCCACAGCGACATCCATGATACGTGACAAATTTGGGTTTCAATATAAGCCATGAACGCCATATTAAATGAGTCGCTGTAGCTGGTGGAGACTTTTATAGAGGCCTTATAGGCTAAAGCGCCTCAAGTCGGCTTAAAATAATCTGAAATAAATTTAAAAACAAAAAAAAAATTAAAAAATGAGGCGCTGTGGCCTAGGGCGCCTCCAAGGCGTTTGGGCTCACAGCGCCTCAAGTGGTCTGATATTTATACCATATTTAATATTTTATAAATACAAAAAATGAAAATTAATTTTTTTAAAAATTTCTGATAAAAAAGAAAAAAACAATAGAAATTTTTAAAAATATAAAGTTAAAAAATGAAGTAATATAATGTGAAATAAATTTAAAAACGAATAAAAAATTTAAAAAATTCTCTGAGACGGTTGGGCTCACAGCGCCTCACGTGGTGTTTTTGTAAAGTATATATATTATATTTTATAAATATAAAATATGAAAAAAAATTTATAAAAAAATGTCTGATAAAAAATAGAAAAGAATTAAAATTTTTGAAAAATTATAACTTTTAAAAAGAGGTAATATAATGTGAAAAAAAATTAAAAACGAAAAAAAATATATATAAATTTGAGGCGCTATGGCCTAGAGCGTGACCACACACAGGCTGACACGTGTCCACAGCTAATTTGAGGCGTTGCAACTCATAGCGCCTCATTAATTGACCGCCTGCGTGACCACACAGAGGCTGACACGTGTCCACAGCTAATTTGAGGGTTGCAACTCATGGCGCCTCATTAATTGACCGCCTGCATGACCACACAGAGGCTGACACGTGTCCACAGCTAATTTGAGGCGTTGCAACTCATAGCGCCTCACTTGGCGCGTAATAAATTCACCGCGTGCTTGGCCAATGAGACGCTGACACGTGGCATTGCAGTTAAAAACTTTTTGTATGTAATTTATAATTATTAAAAAATTAAATTTATATAAATTTTAAAATGATTTCATTTAATTCTGTGTTATTTATGTTAATTAAAAAAATATTTTATTTATATTTGAAATAGCTGTAATTTAATTCTGGTTAATTTAAATTTTTTCGTAAATAATTATATTGAAATTATAAATTGATATAATTTATTTCTGTGTAATTTATGTTTATTAAAAAAATAAATAATTACAAATTTATAAATGATTTAATTTATTTCTGTGTCATTAAATTTATATAAATTCTAAATTGATTTAATTTAATTCTGTGTTATTTATGTTAATTAAAAAAAATTGATTTATATTTGAAATACGTTTAATTTATTTCTGCTTAAATATTGAATTTATTTATTTTAATTCTGTTTTAATTTTATTTAATTAAAAAATAAGTTTATTTAAATTTTGAATTTATTTAATTTAATTCTGTTTTAATTTTATTTAATTAGAAAAAAAGTTTATTTAAATTTTTTAATTTATTTAATTTAATTCTGTTTTAATTTTATTTAATTAGAAAATAAGTTTATTTAAATTTTTAATTTATTTAATTTAATTTAATTCTGTTTTAATTTTATTTAATGTAAAAAATAATTGAAAAACGAAAAAAAATATAAAAAAATGGGGCGCTGTGAGCCACAGCGCCACTCAAGTGTACTGGGCCACAGCGCCTGTTAAGAAAATAATTTTAAAAATAATTGAAAAATGAAAAAATAAAAAATAAAAATTTGGGCGCTGTGAGCCACAGCGCCACTCAGGCGTACTGGACCACAGCGCCTACTAAAAAATAATGTAATAAATAATTTAAAAACGAAAAAAAAAATTATGTAGCGTTGTGGCTCACAGCGCCACTTTGGCGTACTGGGCAAGCCTATAGCGACACTGTTCCAGCCCAATCAAGCCTTAAAAAAAAAAAAAAAAATCCACGTGTCATGGGTGTCGCTATGGCCCATAGCGATACCCAATAAAAGAGCCCCAAAGGTGTAAATTGTTTCAAAACAACCTTATTTTGATAATAAGTTTTAAAAAATGCGCTACAGTGGTCGTTTAGCCCTCATATGTAAGTTTGATAAATTTAATTCACACAAAAACATTTTGAATAAGACTAAATTCTCAAACAAGATGTACTTATTAATCTCAATATTTGTAAAAAAAAATTTTGGGTTTTTTTTTTAGAGGAACGTTTTATGAATTTTTAATTTCTTTTATATAATTTAATGTTTTATTTTATATATTAAATACTAATTATTATTTTATGGAAAAATATTCAAGGATTATAATTCGACTCTAGGAATTTTTTAAAATTTTTTATGTGTTCGAATTTTTTTTATTATCATGTTTATTTATAAATTATATTTTTTTATCAATATAAATTATTTATCTTGAATCTTAAATATTACTTATATGTTTAAAAGTATTTACTTATATAAATTTTAAATATAATTGGTAAACAATTTCTTAGTACAAGAGACATATTATGCATGTGGGAGCGCACAGTTTGTCAAAGAATTAGATACATCTCCAAAATAACAATATTAGAGCTTGCTTTTGATGATAAGCTTCTATAGAGTCCAAAATAACAAAATTAGAGCATGTTTACATAAATTTATATATAAATATTGTTAGAGGAACAATAAAAAATAAAAATAGATTTTTTTTCTAAGTTAAATTAAGTTATAAGAAAATATTTTGAAGAAGCTAATATGAAAAAATTTATACAATCTAATTTATGTATAAGTTATTTTTAAATTTAAAAAAAATTCATTTTTTCTTATTATTTTTTTTTACAAATTCTAATAAATAAATTTATTCAAACAAACTTTTATTCTCCTATAATTAAATAGTGACCAAAGTGAAATAGAAAATAAAATAAGAGTCATTGGAACAATGGAGGTTTAACATTGAAATTTTTATTTAAAAGAACACTAATTTCCTTGGTATACACGTTCACAAACTCACATTCGGATGTTCCATTAAGCAACAAATAGTAACTTTCAAATAAACGTGAGGTTGGGACCTCTCAAACTAAAAAAAGAACTACCAATTATCGAATGATTTTTTTTAAAATAATTATCCAATGATGTGAAAAATGAATAAGGATTACTGACGTAGACTTTGTTATTGATGGGAAAATAAAATTAATATTACGTAAAATACTAACTATTATTTTTTTTATTAATGATATATATTAAATTATTTATTTTACTCTGACTATTAACTATTAATTAAAGTGTAGGAATCTAATTCAACCCAACTCAGGCATTAACTTGTCAAAAAAAAAAAAGTGGATTGTGTCGAGTAGAACTCATTGAAAATTTCAACTCAAGTTGTGGTTGGTTTTAGTTGACTCAACAAATTTGTTAAA